AACGTGGCTTGGGAGGTGAAGCGCCGCCACAGCAGCAGAGTGCGTGCTTGACTGGGGCTTCCGTAGAGGTGGCTTCGATGGGTGTGAGTGGGGTCTATGAGCCGAAGGTTTTCACGCAAAAGAAGAAACCGAGAGGCTGAGCTTCAATGGATGCACAGCGATGACCGGGCGCAGTATGTGGAATCACTAGATGTGAAAGAGTTGAAACGTAGGAGATTTATGTAGAAGCTATGGCAAAAGGCCACAGCTTAATTTGCAACATAGGGGTGTCGCGTGGTGCTTTCCTACGTGAAAATGAACAAAGCTGGTTTTGGTGCTGTTGGTGTGTGTGTGTAACCCTTGGAATCATAGGGATCCTTTTTGGATTTGTCAGGTTTGCCTTTCCGGTTTGTGTTACAGCAGGGGGGCTGGTTGTTCATGCAAGTACCAGCCCAACGAAGAGGCTTGCGTTGAACACTGATATCGGTGGGGACGCTCACCGACGTACCTGCTCACTTCGAAAATTTGAACTTTCTTGTAAAGGGCTAATGCAGCTGCAGTCACGCACGGAACGTCGTCACTTTGTCGGATCGGCTTCGCCTTGTGCTTTGGGCCACACTTCCTTTTGAAGACCCCCAGGCTCTTTAGGGCTCTTTAGGACTTTCCTGGATCTTTCAGGATTTGGGTTTCTTAGGCTGGCGTGTGGCACCGCTGTCAAGTCAGTACACATATCCATAAGTGTGTTTGGCCTCGTGCCAACCCGGGATGAGCCCCCAGAGTGCCTCCCGTGGACTCGTCGAATTCCCCCAGCTCTGGGAACGCAGATGTCCACAGCGGACAGTAGATGGCTTATGCCTCAAGAAGTGGGATGTTTGTCTCATCTTTGGAATTCCAAGTTGGCTCATGCCTGTACGTGACCGCAGCGGTCCGAGGTGGCAGCCTTTGGGCAAGCCGTACGTGGTCGCAGCGACCGAAGTTTGTTCAAGGTTCATTGGAACCTGTTGGAGCCTTAGTTTCTCAGTTGATCTGATCCTCCTTCCTGCCATGGATCCCTCTCCTGCTGGTCTTGCCCCCGTGGAGGGTATCACGATGAGGGCCCAGACTATCCTACATCGAGAAATTCTTCACATACACGGTCTACTGATCCACACTATTTCACTCCTTCGTACTCGCTTTGCTATTCTTTCTCCCTCCTTCCTGGACTACATTACCTCACCACACCTTCAGGTACAGATCCGAGGACTTGATTCGGCCATTCGCCAGGCGACTCAGGCTGTTCATACCGGTGTGCACTACATTCAGGAGCTCCTCACTACCTTAGGCGTGATTCACGCCTTGACCTACGACACTGCTCAACTGGATGCCGAACTACGTGGACGCTCTATTTTTCCCGACCCTCGCCTTCCTCCTGTCCCTCCTCCTCCTTTACAGCTCGCTCTCCACCTGGTATCAAGTAACATGAGTGGTAACTGGTTCCAATTTAATAGCTTCTGGTTCTAAAGCAGGAGCTTGAAGAGCTGGAGTCAACCACAAGAGATTGAGCTGCAAAGCTAGTAAAGCAAAGCAAAACACCTCCCTCCCACCCTCCCACACTCCCTTTCACATGTAGAGCTCGCAATGCGAATCATTACATCCATCACAAAAAATTGGGCTGCAAAGCTAGCAAAAGCAGAGCACCACATCAATCACAAAAGATTGGGCTGCAAAGCTAGCAATGCATAGTTCTGTTTGGGGAATGAGAATAGCAATGGTCCAAACCTTTGCATATGTATATGTTCGATTTATATAAATATAGCATCACTGCCGACAACCCGCCAGCCAGGTGTTTTGAAACCGTTCAGCCAGGTGAGCTAAGGACACAAAGCCGAAGTTATCAGGCCTAGGCCCAAGTAGCGAGACGCGTGGTGAACCCCTCACCATTCCAATCTTGTTTGTTCTGTAGAGACTCTATGATATCAGTTGAAAAGCCCCTGGTATGCATAATACTTGAGCCGAATCGGGGTTTTGACGCCCCCTCCGGAGCCCATGGACCTCCGTCCTGAGGGCTCGAAGTTGGGGTTTGTCGGGGTCAAGTTCGCCAAAAATCTTGCGTCAAGGCGTCCAAATTCCGGGTCCTGAGGGGTCAAATTTGGGGCTTGGAGGGGTCAAGTTCGCAAAAAATCTTGCGTCAAGACGTCCAAATTCCGGGTTCTGGGGTGGTACATGCAAGGCTGGTTCGGCCCTGTGTGTCATCCAGTGCAAGAAGAAGACCGCAAGGGGCCAGGGGTGTGGAGGGTTAACCACTTGCCACTTGCCATTTACCATTGCCACTGACCGTTACCAGACCGATCGCCTATCTGATCTCTTCCGACCCCTTCCCACCGACCTCTACCGACCCGTTCCCACCGACCTCTACCGACCTCTACCGACCCCTTCCCACCGACCTCTACCGACCTCTACCGACCCCTTCCCACCGACCTCTACCGACCTCTACCGACCCCGGGGTCGGTGGGAAGGGGTCGGTAGAGGTCGGTGGGAAGGGGTCGGTGGAGGCAGAGGTGGGTAGACGCGGGTGGGCGGATGGTAGGATAATATGGTATATAAGGATGCGTCAGCGGTTCTGACAGGACACAGAATCTTGACACGTTGGGTTTTGGTGAACTCGACCGCTCCAAGCCCCAAATTTGACCCCTTCAGGACCCGCAATTTGGACGCCTTGACGCAAGATTTTTGATGAACTTGACCCCTCCAACCCCCAAATTTGACCCCTCAGGACCCGGAATTTGGACGCCTTGACGCAAGATTTTTGGTGAACTTGACCCCTCCAAGCCCCAACTTTGACCCCTCAGGACCCGGAA